AGAAACTTGTTTATCAATATTTTTTCTTGTCCTAGAAGATTTTTGCTAGTCTTCTGGGTCCTACTTTAGTTTTTTTGATATGAAGGAAGTGGAGCCCACTTTTTGCCACCATGACACCCAAGTCACATGCTCATCTCTTTCCTCTTTGCTTATTATTGCATCCAAGTTGCTTAACTTATTCATACAAACTTAATATCTGTGTGTTCACATTTGTACCATGTACACAAACTGGATGCCCTAACTACAATTAATGTAGTGGTGATAGGTTTCTCTTCTGACTTAAAAAATCTGTATTATAAAGAAACATTTGTTTCTTAACTATTTCTTTTACCCTTGAGGAATTGCCTTTAATTTAATGAAAGTCAGTCCCTTTAGGTTCCATCATTTCTATCCTAAAGGACTTCTAACTTTGGCTATATTCTCTTTTTCCTGTGTCATCTAGCTCTTCTCCTCTCAAAAGTTGCAATAGTCAGTTTTCATCTCTGTGACCCAAATGCCTGATGAGGACAACTTATAGGAGGAAAATTTATTTTGGCACATGGTTTCAAAGTTCAGTCCACAGTGAGTCAAACCCACTGCTCTGGGCCTGGGGTGTGCAGAACATCATGGTGGAGAAGCACTGCTCCATTCATGGAAGCCAGGAAGCAGAGTGAGGAAAGGGAATGGGCTGCAGAAAAGACACACCCTTCCAGGGCACATCCTCACTGATCGGTCTCCTCCAGCTATGCCCCTCCTGCCTACAGTCAACACCCAGTTAGTCTGTTCAAAATATGATAGACTGATTAGCTCACACCTCTCATAATCTAATAATTTCATCTCTGAATATTCCTGAATTAACACAGGAAATATGGGAGATACCTCATATCCAAACCAGAACAGGTGTTTATCTCTTTAACCTACATTCCTATTCTACTATTTACCACATTAAAGAGGAAAAACATCATCATCTTCCTTGACTACAGTTCTCCCTTTATTTTCCTATTTTTCTTCATAGTAAAAAAAGAATCTCCCTAGGGTTGTCTACATTTTGGTTTCAAATTCTTACCCTCCACTTACTTTTCAAACTATTGCAACCCAAGTTCAGTTCCCACTACTCTTCTGAACTGTTTCTCAAAGCCACCAACTATCTACATATTGCCAAACCAAAAGGTACTTTTCTATATTCCTAAGAGTTGACTTCCTGACCTCCTAGAAGCACTTTCTATATATTCAAAATTCTTTTTTCTTAATGCACATTGTCCTCCAATTTTATCTCACACTGAGAGCATTCCTCTTTTCTTTCATTTCTGAATATGCAAGTTCTTCAGGGTTCTCTCCTAAGCCACTATCTCTGCTCTTTTTTAAAAAATATTTGTTTATTTATTTAGTTAGTTTTTGGCGGACACAACATCTTTGTTTGTATGTGGTGCTGAGGATTGAACCCAGGCCGCACGCATGCCAGGCGAGCATCATAAATAAATCTGATTTGTTTCCCCAGCTTAAAAACATTCAGCGTTTTTCTGAATGTGCTTAGAAGAAATTGCGAGCCCTTCATTATGCCTTTTAGCTCCTATATAACATGAGTCCTAGTTTCTTTTCTAGCTATATCTTTTGTTAGCCTACCTAGCCATTTTTTCATCTTCAGGGCCTTTGCACATGCTTTTCATTCTAACAAAAACACTGATACTTTTCACTTTGTGTAGTTAACATCTATTCATCCTTTAAATTAGACCTTAAATACCTCTCATCCTCCCCTTATATGTCACTTGAGGTAACCCTTCCATGACTTCCCTAACTTAAGTACAGCACTTATACTCACTCACAGAACCATGTATCTCTCCTTGGTATTAGCTTAGTTTTAAGTTTAGTTGATTAATGCCTATGTCTCCCTTAACTCAGCAAATCACTCTGTGCAGGTAGAGAATGTTTTTGTTTTTATTATTTTATTACCAGTTCCTAATATAGTACCCAGAATATAGCTTCTCAAGAAACATCTTCAGGGGGCTGGGGATGTGGCTCAAGCCGTAGTGTGCTCACCTGGCATGCGCGGGGCATTGGGTTCCATCCTCAGCACCACATAAAATAAAATAAAGATGTTGTGTCCACCAAAAACTGAAAAATAAATATTAAAAAATTCTCTCTCTCTCTTTAAAAAAAAAGAAAAAAGAAACATCTGCAGAACAAATGTATGAGTACTAGAGTGTCACGCTACTGAAAAGATGTTGTAGGTCCTGTGAAAATATATTAATCTAATAATTAAAGAACGATAATCTAAAAGAATAACCATGTGAACTTAATGATAGAGTCATTAGCTTTGCTTGATTATTTATCTAAGAAATGTGAGTAACATTCTACACTCGTGATCCTTATCCCCTAATTACAATAGGCAAAATGAAACCAACCTGTCCATCTCCTCCACTACACACATACACAGAATAATTTCAAACTTCAGTGAAAGAATGCAAAGGGAAGCTCAGCTGATCTGTGGGTAAGGTCATGAATTTTTTTTTTTACAAAAAAAGTAGAAGTTGCTCCTGAGATGAAAGGTGTTTCAGTCAGCTTTTTGTTTTTGTTGTTGTTGCTGCTGCTGCTGTGACCAAAAGACCTGACAAGAACAATTTTAGAGGAAGAAAACTGTATTTGGCACAGGTGGTTTTAGAGGTCTCAGTCCACAGATGGCTGACTCCATTGCTCTGGGCCTGAGGGGAGGCAGAAATCCATGGGGGAAGGGTGTGGAGGAGGAAAGCACTGCAGGACAGGATAATCAGGAAATCAGGAATGGGTGGGGGAGAAAGAGAGAACTCCTCTCACAAGCGATAAAATACAAACCCCAAAGGCATGCTCCCAGTGACCTACCTCCTCCAGCCACACCCCACATGCCTACAAGTTAATTCGTATCAATAGATTAACACACTGATTAGGTGAATGCTCTTCTAAACCATTTGTTTCACCTCTAAACCTTTGTCCATTCTCACACATGAGCTTTTAAGGGACACCTCATATCTAAATCATAACAGAAGGCAAGAAGAGAAGAGTGGGGAAGAGCGGCATTGAAATAAGGGTGGCTACCCTTGAACTGTTTGAGTGTCTTCACTCAACCTTGAGCCAGGAGATTTGGTTTGGCATTGCAAGTTATTTTGTAGTTTGTGGGTAGCCACAAAGGAGATAAGCACACACCCTTAGCCTTGAGCGATGGAGGTGTTGAACTGGCTTCAGGTGGACCTCACCTCCGCTCAGCCTGGGAATGAAGCTCTGGGAGTGGATGTCACTCAATGAGATGGGCTACACCCCCCTGAAACCCAATCCCTTGCCTCATTTGGGTTTCTTCAATAAATAGGATGGTGGCATAGTCTCTCTCTTTCCAACAGACCTTTAAGGTCAAGAGCCATCCCTGATTCCTACAAGTAAAAGGTATTTCTGTGCGTTGGGAGCTTCTTTCCCATTTTCTAGTTATTGATGTAGCCAGCGCTAGTGGACCCAGCTCAGGTCACCCACCGAGCTAGCTCCCAGTAGTGGCTCCTCCCACTTAATGGATTACACAATGCACATGACCTCAGTCTTTGCTGGGCCTGGGAGAGAGCTGCAGTAGCTCCAGAGTTGGGCGTGACCCATTGGGCCTCCTACCTTAAAAGGCAAAGAACATTCTATGGAAAAACCTTTGATGCTTCTCTCATATAAAAAAGCAAACGTGGGCTCTCTCTTTCCAGTGTGGAAGCTCCACCCCTAAGATCAAAGAGTCGATCCACCCTCCCTTTTCAAAAGTATTTTCTCTGTGCTTTTTTTTTTTTTTCACCTTCTTTTCTTAGCTTTATTTCACAGCCAACCTGCATCATGCAGAGGAAACCCAAATTCCACCAGCCCCAGGGACGTGAGTGAGAAAAACACCTAAAATTAAATTTCATTTTGTTAATGTTGCTACAGTATGAATCCTTTTGACTTTTCAAACCTTCAGTAATGTTTAATCTTTTTATAAGCTTCTATCAAGAACCAAAAAAAGAGAAATCACAAGGGCCATCAAGCTATAAGGGCCATTCAGGAGACAAAGTTTTCCCTTTCCTTGAATATCTCTGTTTCTACTTGTATATCATTTCTCTAACTTCACTTGGTCTGTACACATCACTAGAAAAAGTCTTATTTATCTTTGATTTGTAGGAATAACCTTTCCTATTCCTGACTATTGCAAAATGCCATTTACAATGTGTGCCTTGGTACACAGGGTACTGTGTTTCAGAAGAGCTCCTAAATCCCCCAATCTCATTGCTCCCACCCCTCCTGCTCTAGTCTCTAATTTGGATCTTGATTAAAGTTGTATCTATCTTCAGCCTTCCTCATACCACAGTGGCTCCCTGTAATGTAATTCTACATGTTTATTGGTAATAAATTCATGGTCAGGCATTTCCTCTGACTTGAATGATTGGTCCCAATGTACACAGATTATCCAGATCAAGTCTGGTCCACCACCAGGATTGAGGAAGAAGCATTAAACAGTATCTCTTATTATCAGTGCTTTAAAAAATGATTGTAAGATTAATTCAAAACCAAAGAAATCAAGTGGTAGCAATTCTCCAGAATATCTGCTAATAAATCTACCAGTTCAGTTGTTCTTTAATCTACAAATATTTTTAGTGCTTTTCAATTTTTTAACCTAGCTCTGCTTGTCAAACTTTACTTTTTATAGAGGCCGTTAGAATAAAGTTTTGTTTTGCTCTGCTTTGCTTTTTATAAAATTCAAAATGATGGTATGTAACGCTATAATTAAATGTCATTTTCAAACAATGCATCCCTTCCAATCCATCCTAGAGATTGTGATGTGTCTCCCCCATTATGCCACTCTCTTCTGACCATGGAAGTTCTTCCATTGTTTGATGAATAATCCCTAGTTTAGACTGGAGTAAGCCATTATGGAAAAAAAAAATCTCCTTTACTCTTAAGATTGAATATAACCAGGAAAAAGTACAAATACTTTAGATCATTACATTTAATGAACAATGTCATAAGGAAACCTAAATAATCTGACATACCCATCTAGGAGAGCAATGACGTTCTTCCTTGGACGCCCAATATTAGGGCCATATAAACTGGCTCTGGAGTAAATCCGGATGGGTTGCAAGAGGCTCTTCAGCTGGATGTAATCTTTTCCCAACTGGCTGCCATTCACAGCCCGGCCATGCATGGTCCGATAGTTATTTGGCTCTAGGTTAAAAACAGACATGTAAGTTAGCTTTGAGAAGAGCCAGACTCTGCCAACCCTTTCCTGTCCACAGACCTCTGCCTTTTCCTTAACAGAATGAATAAAATAACCAAAGAAAGGAAGTGTGGTGTATCTAAGTTGAAGAACTATCCCAGGAAAGAAGTCAATTTAGCAGTGTCCTCTTACCGTTTCACTCATTTCAAAGCAATCTTCACAAAAGATCACCTAATCCACAAAGGAGACCATGCTGATTTTCAGGCAATACTTCATAATGAATGGTATACTGGATTGAATAGTGTCCCCCAAAATTTATGTCTACCAGAACTTCAGAACATGACATTATCTGGAAATAGGGTCCTTGAAAATGTAATCAATTAATATGCAGTCTCACTGGATTAGGGTCAGCCCTAAATTCACTGATTGCTATCTTTATAACAGAAAGGAGAAGGAAGTTTACATACACACACACACACACACACACACACACACAAGTATACCAGTCAGACCTGTAAACTGCCTAAATGTTGACTGTACTCCCCCCACTCCACAATCCACCTACAATCTACTGGCAAAAGATGGAAGCACAATCTCTGATCAAACATTGACCCACAATTAAGCTATACTGTGATATGCCTTCTTCACACCATCTCTTCTAACTCTGGAAGGCCTGCAGAGATGAGAATTTCTTCCATTGTTTGATGAAGAGTCCTCAATTTAGAGTGGGCTAGAGGGAATACCTAGAAGCTGGCCTTAAAAACATTTTTTAAATGATAAATTAAAAAAATGTAGAATTATCAGTAGCTACATAATGTGAGAGAGACAGACTCTATATAATTAGTCCATGTAAGTTTCTAAGCAAACAAACAAAAAGAAACAATAAAAACATCTCTGGAATGGAGGATTTATAATTTAGAGGTTCTCCAACATATTATCTAAAATATATTATTTTCAACAAAAAATTATGACATGCATAGAAATAGGAAAGTGTAACCCAAATTTTGGGAGGGGGAGGACTGTTCTAAGAAATTATTTCTTAAGAGGTCTTACTGTACACTCGGCAAACAAGGACTTCAAAATTTCTATTATAAATACATTCAAAGAACTAAAGAGAATAATGAAGAATGAAAGGAAAGCATAATGTTATTGACTTATCAAATAGGAATATAAGAGAAATAAACCATAGAAAAGAAGGCAGATTCTTGAATTGAACTGACTCATCATAAGCAAGAGAACACAATGAGATTAATGGCTGAGTTTTTGCCAGAAACAATGGAGGCCTTAAGAGAGTGGGATGACACATTCAAAATACTGAAAGAAAAACCCTGTTAACCAAGAATTCTACATGCAGCAAAGTATTCTTCAGAACTGAATGCAAAATTTATATATTACAAGAAAAACACGTGAGCAAATCTGTCTTATAAGAAATTAAAAAGGAGGGCTGGAGATACAGCTCAGTTGGTAGAGTGCTTGCCTTGCATGCACAAGGCCCTGGGTTCAATCCCCAGTACCAAAATAAATAAATAAATAAATAAATAAATAAATAAATAGGAAGTCCAGATTGAAAGGAAATGCCACATATGGCAATTCAAAACCACACAAATAGACAACATCAATATAGGTAGTTATATAGGTAAATATAAAAGTTGAGAATATACATGACTTCGTTCTTCTCTTGAGTGACTTAAATGACACTTGCACAAAACAAATAGATAAAGTGTTGTTGGTCTTTATCATACAAAAACAAAATCCTAACAGAGTGACACATTTCAGATTCAAATAAACAAATAGATTGAAAGCAAAAGGATGGGAAAGGAGAAATATCATGCAAACAGTAACTATCAAGACAGTGGGAACAACTACACTTCTGAATATCAGCAAAATAGACTTTAAGAACAAATGTTACTAGAAACATTGCAGAACATTTTATAATGATAAAAGGGTATCTGGTAATGAGAATAAAGACCTCAATTTTTTCAAGAAGATATAGACATACCTAACAAAAACATCAAAATACAGGAAGCAAAATTGAAAAAATTGGAGAAATAGAAAATTCAAAAATATTACAAGGATACTTAGTACTACATTCTCTATAATGGATAACATAACTGGACAGAAAATCATCTAAGATATATAAGAGTTGAGTATCATCATTGGCTAATGAACTGCTTGATCTATAGAACATTCTACTGGACAACAGCAGGATACACTCTTCCAATGTAGGGTAGAACATGCTTCCATATATACCACATGCTAAACCATAAAACAAATCTCACAAATTTTAAAGGATTAAAATCATGCAATGTATATGCTCTGACCACAACTGAATTAAACTAGAATCTAACACCCGAAATTTGAGAAATTTATTTGAAAACTAAACAAATAATCCATGGGTCAAAGAAGAAATCACAAGGAAATAAAAACTGGAGTGAAATAAAAATATAACATAAGAACATATGGGATGCAGCATAAGCAGTGGCTAGGGAAAATATTATAGTCAGAAATGAGGAATGATCTCAAACCAACAACCAAGGATTCTGCTGTAAGAATGAGAAAAATAAGAGAAAAGAGACATATAACAATTAGACATATAACAATTAAAATCAATGAATTAGAAATTAAAAAATCTTTTCATAAAGAAAGCCCAGACCCAGGTACATTGATTGGTGAATTCCATCAAATGTTTAAAGAAGAAATACCAATCCTTCATAAACTCTTCCAGAACATAGAGAAAGAGGTCACACTTCTCAACTCATATTATTCCCATTCCAAAGCCATTATGAGAAAACTAAAGATGAATATGTCTCTTAAATATAGATGCAAAAATCCCCATTCAAAAAAATATTTACAAATCAAATCCAACAACACAGAAAGAGTATCATAAACCATGACCCAATAGGATTTATGCCAGAATGCAAGGTTGACTTAACATCAAAATCCAATTAATATAAATTACTCTATTGATAGAATGAAAGACCAATATCATCACATTATCATCTCAATAGATGGGAACAAAAGCAGCTGGAAAAAGACACCACCATTCCCAATAAGCACTCTCAATGCACCATGAATAGAAGGAACCCTCAGCCTGATAAGGGATATCAGAAAAAAAACCTACAGTTAATATCATCATACCTAATGATGAGATACTGAATGTTTTCCACTAAGATTGGGAACAAGGCAAAAATGTGCTCTTGCCACTCACAGTCAACATTTGTACTAGATGTTCTAGCTAGTGCAATTTCTCAAGGAAAAGAAATTAAAAGCATCCTAACTGGAAAGGAAGAAATAAAGCTGTGGTTACTCTCAAACAACATGATCCTTTTTGCAGAAAATCCTAAGGGATCCACACGTGTGGGCAAAAAATTTAAATATATAAAAACAAGTTCAGCAAGGTTGGAGAATATAAGAACAATTTATAAAATTGTTATTTTTAAATACTAGCAATACACAGTTCAAAAATGAAATTAAGAAAATAATTCCAGGGGCTGGGGATGTGGCTCAAGCGGTAGCGCGCTCGCCTGGCATGCGTGCTGCCCGGGTTCGATCCTCAGCACCACATACCAACAAAGATGTTGTGTACGCCGAGAACTAAAAATAAATATATAAAAAAAAAAAAGAATGAAGAAAATAAACAATTAAAAAAAAAGAAAATAATTCCATTCACATTAGGATTAAAAATAATACTTAAGAATAAACCTAGCAAAAGCAATGCAAATTGTATATGCTGAAAGCTAGAAAATATTGATTAGAGAAATTAAAAATTAATCAATCGGGAGGCTGAGATGGAAGGACCATGAATTCAAAGCCAGTCTCAGCAAAAGCAAGGTGCTAAGTAATTCAGTGAGACCCTGTCTCTAAATAAAATATAAAATAGGACTGGACATGTGGCTTAGTGGTTGAGTGCCTCTGAGTTCAATCCCTAGTACTCCCCCCAAAATTAAATAAATGGGGAGATAACTTAGGTTCATGAATAGGAAGACACTAAATTAAGATGGTAAGTCTCCCCAAATTGATCTGTAGATTCAATACTCTATTAAAACCCTAGCAAGGTTTATCGAGGATATTAACAAGCTAGTTCTAAAATTTACATGGAAATACAAACATCCAGGAAAGCCAAACCAATTTCAAAAAAGCACAAAGTTGGAGAACTTAACATTTGACAATTTTAACACTGTAAAGATGTTGTAAAAAGACAATATAGTCCTAACAGAAGAACAGAAATATAGATCAGTGGAACAAAAGTAAGAGTCTAGAAGTAGAACCACTTAAGTCAATTAAATTTTGATAAAGGTGCTAAAGTAATTCAATTGGGAAAGAGGTTATCTTTTAAATAAAGTGTTGGGAAACTTGAAATCCACATGCAAAAAAAACTAATTTAGAACCTTACTTCATATCACATGCAAAACTTAACTCCTAATTGATTCATGCCCAATATAGGAGCCAAAACTACAAACTATAAAACTTAGAAGAAAATAAGGCAAAGAACCTCTGTGACTTTGGGTTAGGCAAAGAGATGACACCAAAAGCATGATCCATAAATTTTCTAAAATTTGATAAGCTGAACTTAATCAAAATTCAAAGCTTTTGTACTCCCAAAGATTCCATTAGCTAAGTGAAAAGATAAGTTATAAATGAGAAAAAAACTGTTTTCAAGTCATATATTTGATTTAAAAAACATATTGAAAGTATATAAAGAATTCCTGGGCTGGAGTCGTGTCTCAGTGGTGGAGCCCTTGCCTAGCACGTGTGAGGCACTGGGTTTGATCCTCAGCACCACATAAAAAATAAATAAATAAATAAAGGTATTGTGTCCATTGTCAACTAAAAACAACAACAACAACAACAATAACAAAAAGAATTCCTACAACTCAATAATAGGGTAAACTTTAAGTCAACATTACACCAAAAAAGTGCAAATGATTAATAAATACATGAAAAGGGACTCACTATCATTAGTCACCAGGAGTGTGCAAATTAAAGTTATATTAAGATACTACTTCAA